CATTTCCGTATAGCAAAGCTCTTAAGGAGCTACAGTACACAGCAATGTCCCCTGATCTTTGCTGGATACCGTTCGGACATCGCACAGGCTCACTCTGTAGCATCCATTTCCAGTCGGCACCCCCGCGGAGGGTTCAGTGGAGGATTTTCGCCATCCGATTTCAAGCGATTACAGTTTCTTATACACACACAACTTTTTTTACGTGTGTGCCTAAGTGTGTAGCCGTTTTTTGCACAATATAATAATAATCCCAACGGTTTTACCCCCCATTCCCGCCCATCCGCACGAGCGATGCAGTCCGCATGACGTACGGAACCAATATTTTCAATTTTTGCGCCGCGTCACCAAAGGCAGGAGTTTGTTAAGTACTGTTCAGCTACAGAACTAAATTCATCAGCTAATTTTATGTCTTTATGTTAAGAATTCATTTATTGATAGAGGAGATTATTGCTAAGGGCCGTTTTCATCATCTCTGCTTAACATCGCTACCGACGTTATAGTTATCGACCCAATGTTATATGCATGGAGTCAGTAACGTCGGTAACGATGTTTAACTGGAGATTAGTGTTAACCAGAGATGACGAAAACGGCCCTTAATGCTGAAAAGCGGATCTGATATATAATAAACGTTCTCGTATGAGAGTCAAAATCCTGGCATAAGAAAACAGGGTGGGTCGGGCAATTCAAAACTAGTTTTAGAAGCTTTCAGAAATAGGGGACAAAAGTGTCTTGATACACGAGAGGGAACTTTACAGCTAACATCAGCCACAAGAGACGGACTTCAAATTCAGCCTGTCAGTAATTTAACCATAACAAGTAAGAAAGTCAAAGTTCGGGCGGAGCCGAACACTATATACCCGTCGCAAGTATTAAATATATGTTTTTCACCTTTCCGAAAGGTACCGCTACATGGTAAGCCGGATTGTACCAATTTTGAGCAAATTAGCGTTCTTAAATTTCGAAATATTGAAGTTTCAAGCATTTCTGAAATGCACCGTTATATGAAAAGTAGCCGTAATTTTAGTCCGATTTCAATACTTTTTAACGTTTTGCTTTTATGTGGCAAGCACAATAATCATACCGAGTTTGGTACAAATTGGTAGAACGGTTACCGAGATACATATATGTGATTATAAGCAGGCGGTGCCACGCCCATTTTCCAAAATTTTATAATAAGCGAATTTCTTGATAAAGAATTGTTGCAAGCATCAATTTTGAATAAATTATCTTTAATATTTACTGATTTATCGAAGATTTTGTATTTCTCCAAAATACCGTTATATGGGATGTGGGCGTGGTTATTGTCCTATTTTAAAAATATTCGGCTAGTTGGTATGGTGTATCAAGGCCAATAACTGTGCCAAGTTTGGAAATTCGTGCAGCGATTATCAAGATATACACATATAACCATAAGTGGGTGTAGCTACGCGCATTTTCCAAAAATATATAATATTCTTATTTTTCATCTAAAGTTTATTGTAAATATTAATTCTGAGTGAATAATCCTCAGTAGTTACTAAAATATCGCAGTTTTCGTATTTCTGAAAATTACCGTTATATGGGAAGTGGGCGTGGTTACAGTCCAATTTCGCCCATTTTCAATACTAACCTACCTTGGATAAATGGAAACCTACACACCAAATTTCGTTGAGATATCTCAATTTTTGCTCGAGTTATCATGTACACGGACGGACAGACGGACAGACGGACGGACAGACAGACATGGGTTAATCGACTTCTCTATTAATTCTGAGCATTTAAGTATACATTTGTCTAAATCTATCTCGATTCGTTTTGGCTGTTATAAACAACCGTTATGTGAACAAAGTTAATATACCCTTGTGCACAAGTGCGCTCGCGTATAAAAATTATACCAAGCATTTACCTGCGACTGACAAGTGTAGGAAGGTTAATAAGTTTTAAGCGACTTGTATAAGGTAGAAGTTTATATTGAGAATCCCATCGGAAATTTCTTAAAGCAAAAAGTAGGAATTGTTTTTGAATTGATTCTAACTTGGCTGAGTAAATTTAATACCTTGGATTCCAAACCACCGAAACGTATTCCAGAATCGGTCCAATTAATGTTGTAAACAGGGGTTTAGTGATATAAGGGTCACTAAATTCTTTTGACCATCGTTTCACAATTGCAAGAACACCTTTAGCATTGTTGACTGTCACATTATTGTGAAGATTAAAATTAAGTTTAGGATCCATTGTGATACCAAGGTCCACAAAATTGTATACCTGTTCAAAGTTGTGGTTATCTATTGTATAAGAAAGTGGCTGAACAGCTCTTCGCCAAAAGCACTTTGATTGAGAGGCATACGATTTGCATTACACCAGTTAGCCATGCTCTTTAAGTCTGTTTGTAGCAAAGGATTTTATTTAATTGACACGTACGATTTATAAAGTTTCACATCATCTGCGTACATTAAAATTTTAAAAAAATTTTGTATCTGTAGAAATATCGTTTATGAAAAGCAAGAACAGAACCAGGCCTAGGTAGCTACCTTACGGGACTCCTGAAGTAACATCAATGACATCACAAATAGTATTTTTAAACATTACCCTTTGTGATCTATCATAGAAAATTAGGTTGAAGACCAAGAAGATCAAGTTTATAGATGAGCAACGAGTGACATACTTTGTCAAATGCTTTACTGAAGTCGGTATATAAAACATCCACGTTTTCACTAAACGCTTTTGAGATATAAATAGCTTGTATGTAAACTCAAGTAAATTCGTTGAGGTTGATTTGCCTTTGCAAAACCCAGGTTGATATTATAAAATAGTAGAGGAGATAGAATACGTCAACTGATTTGTAATAATTGCTGCAAATAATTTAGGAATTGCAGAGAGCGTAGCTATGCCCCAATAGTTCTCCACCGAGGATCTGCTACCGCTTTTATGTAGCGGGCTATGAACCATGGATGTTGGGAATATTTTCGCATTCGTTATGCGAATGATTCGTTTCATTTTACAAATTCGCATTCGCATCAAATGATACGAATGTTTTGCGAATGCAAATGTGTACATGGGCATAGAGTCCACTCTAATATTGTTGAAAGGGCTCTAAGTCTGTCTAACCAGGGTGCCGACCATAACCGGTGTTAAGACAGTTTCTCACCGGAACGAAAGCGCCCTGATTTTCTTATAATTTTGAATAAAGAACTACGCCAGCTGGGTGTGAATTCAAGGTTTATTTTGCATAGTTTCAACACATGTAATTATACATGTATGTATGTTAAAATCCCAGTAGAAATCTTAAGCATACAACATCGCTGTTGGTGGCATGAACCTTCATTTCCATTTAACACGCGTGGTTTCTCAGAGCGTATGCATACCTTAATCATACACTTGTACTACTGCTGTAGGCATATGTATGTATTAATGTTTCAAACATACAAAAATGCATTAATGGAACAGTACTAAAGCATTCTTACAAGATCCCCATTTGTAAATGCTACTTTTCTGATACATTTTAATATACGGGGACATACAAACAAGTAGCACTTACATATGCAAATGCATATCTTGTAAAAGCTCGTTTGTGCTGAAAATAGTATCGCACAACACGTCCGTTCACTAAAATTTTTGTACAAGACTGAAAATATTACAAAAATTCCACTTCAAATTTATCAAGAAATGTACTTAAAAGTGGCTACACACGACGAACATATCCGCGCACATGTGCGCCAACATGCTCGCTGTCGTTTGCTACAGACGGCGAGCGGCTCATAAGTGATTTTGTACTCAAAGCGTTAACGTGGAAAGGAAAGACGCGGATGATGCAATTGAAATACTTATGACATAGGGGTTTTTATGTATGTGTTACTTAAATTTATTTATAATTTACTTATATGTATGTACATACATATACATATAGTAATTTAGCCTCATTTATCAAAAATTCAATTAACGCACATGGATTGGATGCATTTATCCGCGATGTGCACACTGCAAGCATCAACACAAAGTGAGGTTATTGTTTTTGTTTCCAATGCGATGCTCGCAAACCACGCTACAAACGACGAGCATGCGAGCATGCTCGCAAACCGCCCTACAAACGACGAACATGACCCGCAAGCCGCGCATGTGCGCGAATATGTTCGTCGTATGTAGCCACTGTAAAACAACAACAACGTACATTCGCTTGCAATTCGCTAGAATTTTAATTTATTCGTAGAAATTCATGACTACGCATGAATGGTTCACACTAATTCACTCATATCGCAAGCATCCTTCAAGAATGCATACAACCGATTTCCACTGGGATTCCTATTATGGATATATGTAAGCTTAAATTAAATCAATTTGCGGAATATGATATCGTAAATTATACATACTTTACGGTATTAAAACCAGGACGTGTGACGAGATCTTGATTAATTTCTTTTGAGCTACTTTATGCACGAACTAACTAAAGTACAATTGGCGAATCAATTGGCGCAATGCGCGCTGATGTATTATAAAAGACTGAATAGTCTTAAAAATACAACCAAATTTCATAGTTAAATAAATAAAATCATTTTCATAGGAATGTATCCATAATTATAGAACTCGTCTTACGACTCGTGGTAGAAGTCATTTTAATTTATCGATAAAATTAATTTACTAGATAATTCTAGTATAATATAATATATTTTAGACAGTATCGGCAACAACCGGCTTTTAGCTTCAGGCGCTAAACGGTTAAGTAGTACATCAAGCAGCATTGATGGTCCTTCAACAAGTACTGCTAAAAGTCTTATAAGCAACCTAGAAATAATTTTAGATTCCTCCAACAAAAGCGAAGGCTCGGATGTAGAATCTAGAGATTAAAAAATGTGAAATTAAAGCTCAATTGACGGACTATCTTAAAGAAAAACGAGCTCATCTCGGTTAAAATCCTCTCTATTGGTGGAAAACTAAACTAAAATATGACAAATTGACGGGATCTTCATCCTTCTGTAAGGGTTTGTAGTCATAATTCACAAAACTTATTTTTCTTTTATTTGCAGATATTTCAAGACAACGACGTTACTGAATCAACATCAGTACAAAAAAAATTTACGATTAAGTTCACATGGATGCCACAAACACGCAATGTTTAATCATCAAGCCCAGGGCGTAGACAAATCTGTTTGTAGATACTAACAATCCACACAGCCCATTTTGTAAACGCAAAAATATCAATAACTATGAATGTAGAAATCATGTGTAAAGCTAGTTCTGGCAAGAAAAAGAGCGATAGAAACACCAAACCGGTAATTCAAGATGGTAGGGATAAGTTGCTAGAAGACTTATTGATTTCAATGCCGACATATGGAAATAATATTTTGCCGCAAAAAGAAAAAAATTCTCACTCACCGTCATGCCAGGAACGTACAAAAAGCTTTGATCATGTTTACGCAACAAGCACTAATTGTAGTCAATTCAGCATCAAAAGCAAGGAAAGTAGCCACACAATTCTGGCAAAAAGCCAGCTCAAAAAACGAAGCACTGCCAACAAAGCGCTTGGATTCGAGATTTTTTATGGGTTCGGCAGCGGTGTTAATAACGAAAATGATGCAAAAATGCGGGGTAAAAAGAGGGGAAAGAGGTTACTTCGGCTTAACCAAGCATCGGAGTATTTGGTGTCCTGCAATTTAGAGAGTAGTAAAAGCTCGACAAAATCATTTCAACGGCAAAGTGAGGAACGAATTATAGCAGCTGCAATGCCAAACATGTCAAAGTGCGGTCCTGATAATGCTCACGATAATGCCGATGGAGCGTCCGATCTACCAACATCGGCGCTCTTTTCTAATAAACCCCGACAAAGTGATAGTCATCATAAGACTAAGTGTCGTAATAGCAGAACTTATCGCAGCCAAGTTAGAAGCACATCAGCAATAGCGCCAGGAATTGCAGCAGCTGATGCGCCAAAGCCAATGGCGACATTACCAGATACACCATCGACGCAAAAAATAACAACAGCGACGTGGGTGAGTGCATCACCGCAAACTTCGGAAACGTTTTTAACAAATCCATTATTGGAAACAATGTCGACGACGCCAGTCGAGGTGGCGTCTTTGGCGCCAGCGTTATTAGAATTCCTGGTTTTCCCAAAGGCTTGGCAGCAAATTGTAACACTATTGCGGAACTCTGTAGAAGATATCACTTCGCCATCAAAGTTATCGATGGAAGGAGTTAAATCAGCGCCAGAAATAGCAAGAAGAACAACGAAAAATGCTAAATCAGTGAATAGACTGCAAGAGCAGTCAATTACAGCAACAGCAACACTAACTTCAGCAGCAGCGGCGCCTACAGCAGGAGCGACGGTAGCGCGCTATAAAGTAGCTGCTGAAGCCATATTGCCTGTGCATTCATCGAGCAGCTCATCGTCGCGTACAAAATTCCGGTTGCTACCAAGTTTAGGTGCCACGTCGTTCTTTACGTTATTGACGCTCATTTGTTTAGAAACGGTACTACTTTCCACCGTATCGAATTGTGCAAAAACATTCTACATGCATTGGAATACATCGAACAGCATGTAAGTTGTACTTATTGTACAGATATAATTTTTGCATACATATTATTGTATAAATATATTTAAATAATTTATATCAGATACTAACAAAAATTGTGAAACACGCATTTTTATAGGTTTCCTGTCCAATGAATCACAAGTGATTCATGGGAACAGTTTTTTACCTTGTCTCACAAGTCCATGCATCATATATGAGCAAAATCAATGCTGACTTCAGATACATATTTTTAGGTATTTTGCAAAAACTATAGTGTTTTTGTGTGGAAACATACAAAACAGTTGTGGATTGAATATGATACATAGGACGTACCTTATCGAAAACTATTTCCCTCCCTTATGTATAATAAATGAGAAATTAAATATTTTATTTTTTTTTGCATAAGGGCATATAATCTACGCTCTTTGGATATTTTTATATGCAAATAATATCAAATCAGATAAAGAATCCTGGAAAGAACGGAGGACGTATGCCATGAAAAAAGATGTCTTGGATGAGGACAGGGAACCTGTTAATGAAAATTCGACATAGTTTTCTTTGCAATTTAAACTTTAAATAGTATTAGCCCAATTCTTGGAGATTGAACACGTACGAAGTTCTTCACTTCTCCGCAACTCATGTCAAAATATTATTTGAAATAAACAAAAATTAGTGAAATAAACAAACCATCAAGAGTTAAACGTCCATTATCTCTGCGAGAATGATAAAGAAGAGTGGTATTGAGGTATTGAGGTTATTGAGTTCCATCGAACGTGGTTAATTGATTCCAGCTCATTCTCATCGCTGCAGCTTCTGCAGAGTAAACTTTAGGTATCCGCCATCGCTTAAGCTTCGGTGCAAAAGCATTGTTCCCTGTAATAGCACCTTACTGTAAACTATTGAGCCTCAGAAAGCCTTTTTTCTATTGAACCACGTGCCGTTATAACCTTTATGGGGCTTTCGCACGAGGCGATTTTTCAGGCAACTTTTAGTTGAAAGCAAAAATCGCCTCGTTCGAACGGCCTTTCAACTAATCGCTTTCAACAAACTATATATATACATACTTTTTTACTTTTAATTTATCTTTCAGCTTCGCTAAAAGCACTTCTACCAACGCTTGGCTTACCAACTTTACGCCAATTGATACAATTTTGCGATTTAAATTGATTTTCAATAATGTAAATAACCATTCGTGTTGAATCGAAATTCGCCTCGTCTGAATAGGGATGGCAACTTTTTCACTTTCAACTTCTCATTCAACTTTTGTTGCCTGTAAAATCGCCTCGTGCGAATGCCCTATTAGGTTGCCATGGTAGCAAGCATAAAAATTTGCAAATGCTAATGCAATTATCCTAGACTATTTGCACAACTGCCCTAGTCTTTTTGTGTGGAAACATACAGTAAACCGTTGTAGATTGTATATGATATATTGGACGTACTTTATCGAAAACTATTTCCCAGGCTTTTGTATCATAAATGAGAATTACAATTTTTTTTTTGAGGACATTAATACATAGTCTGTGAACAAATAATTCTTACAGACCACTAATAAAATTTAATAAGATTATATAAAAGTTTCATAAGATCAATGAAAACATCTTTAGGCAAAGAAAAATCAAGCTAGACAAAAGATGAGGTCTGGTTAAATTCATTAATAGCGGAATCGGTGCATTTATCGCCTAATTTGTTCTACTATTAATGCCATAAAAAGGGCAGCACAATCAAAATCTCCCTGGATAATGCCATAAATAAATGTTTAAGAAAGAACTGACTTTCTGCTTTCTAAGGGTTTAAGACTTAAAGAAGTAAACGAGCATAATATGGTTGAAGAGGATCAGTGAACCGTAAGGACCGCAATGCATACCTAAGAACACTTTTTGAATTCGTTCAACCCGGTTAATTGAAAATTGTTGAAAAGGCCAATGCAGTGGGGCCTCCCTCTTCCTCTGTGTTTGCCATCGGCAGCACAGAAACGCCCGTAAATCTTTCGCAGAATATTTCTGCCGAAAACTAAGATGCCTCATAAGATGCCTTCATTATCCTTGTCTTTTTCACTTCCAAGTACATTATCATATAACTTGTTTATACCTACGCAAATCTACATTTTTTTCTTAACAGCGGTCGTCTCTCGGCAGGCAATGGCAAACCTCCGAGTGTGTTTATGCCATGAAAAACAGCTTCTCAAAAAAATACAATCGCCGTTCGGAGTCGGCGTAAAACTGTAGGTCCCTCCACTTTGTGTGACAACATCAAGGCGCACGCCACAAGTCGGAGGAGAAGCTCGGCCAAACACTAACATATGTGTAAGCGCCAATCTATATTATTATTATTAAATCTACATTAACAAAAACCGATTTGATTCGACACAGAATACACGAAATATGTTGACAATCACTCTTTACAGCTTTTAGAATCAGCAACGAATACAAAAATCCTTGAATATTGAATTACGTCTCCCGTGATTAGTTCATCGACATGACGAAAACTAGCCACCGTTTTATTTATCGCTATTACACCCTTTGAAATTGCTTTCCACGGAAACATGTCAGATTAACGAAGGCATTCAAATACTTTCAGCTTTGCCATACTCAACTGCGTCCATTGAGAGGTCGTTCAGCACACACACGTGTCAAAACATGGCAACGATCAACAAGGCAAGAATACCGCTTGAATGGCTTGTGCATGCTCAGCGTTCATCGCAAACTGGTTGGTTGAGGAAATGGGAGATGAAATTACAGAAAACGGTTTAAAAATTTCTCTTTATATATAAAAAAAAATAATACAAACAATTAAATTTAATTAAAAATATTTTTTCCGTCCATATCATCTGCTGTTCTCTAGGGCCGCATCCTTCGGGTTTACACAAGCTCATTTTTGCGAAGACAAGAGCAATACAAACATTTGGCGTAGCTACAAATCCTCTAAGATCATTTTAACGTTGAGCTTATATTGAAAAAGTTTACGTCTTTAAGATATTAAGACATTTAAGGCGTCTTGTGAATCCCCTAACTATCAGACGTACCAGGTTCGGTGTACAACTTTTGGAACAAAAACACAAAAGAAAAACCGCAAGTAAAAGCAAAAGGTCACGCTCACTTTATTTACTCTCTCTTAAGTTGTTTTTCTACTTTGCATAGGATTTAGTATGACTCCCAATACTTGCTCGGTCAGATAATCGTAGGATTTGTTTATTCAGCTTAGGTAATTCAAAGCAAAGGAATCTATTCCTGACCGCCAAAGAACATAATCTTAGTTTTTCCTGCAATCAGCCCTTCTTACCTAGAAAACTTACCAAAATGTTGATCAGCACAGATGTAAAATTACTACCTCATCGGCATAGACAATGTCGTGAAGGGCGTTATGTATTTAACATGTAGTTCGTAAGTATTTATGTAAGCCCATAAGTTTAATGTATTATGGAACGATTTTCCATCCGCCCTTTTCGAATTTGGTTTGCAAATAAATCGGTTTCGGCGTTGTGCTATATTCAGTGTCATTCCTCGTTCTGAATTAAGAACGAAAACCAAATTTGATAACGGAAAGTCATTCCACAATACATAAAAATCAAAAAGTATCATTGACCAAAGGTTTCATTAACTTAACACGGCTTAATAAGAGCTAAAAAGGGTTTGATCGCTTCCATGGTATATTCCTCAAAACGAAAAACAAGAAATATTTTACACTTTCAGTCTACCATACACTAAGGAAAGAGCTTAGGTCTTCTTGTTTGGCGCTATAACTGCCCAAGCGATTTTGGCTTAGTCCAACAAATCACGCGAGTCGTTTCTCTTCTGTGCCAACTGACGCCACGCGCGTTGAATACTTTCACAATCGGATAGTTTCCGTCCGTTAGTACGACGTTACCTAGCCAGCGTAGCCGCGGTTTTAGTTCGCCGCATCGTTATAAAACTAATGCAGCTCATCGTTCCATCGCCTGCAGTATTAGCTATTGCCAACAAGCAAAGGCCCGTAAATCTTCCGCAGAATCTTTCTCTAGAAACACACTAAAAGCCGCCTCATCAGATATTTTTCCATGCTTCTGCACCATATACCAGCACGAGCATTATGACCAGGGTGTCCAGATTGTTTAAAAAAAGGGCCATTTCTGAAAAAAAGCGCCAAAGTTTCTTTTATAAAATTCATGAAATCGGCCTAAAAAATCTTTTATTTTAAAAATGAGATCTTGTTATAACATAGTTTTTAACACCAAAATGAATATAATGCCTTCATGGTTATAATAAATAACACAAATCACTTATATGATGGTGATCTACAAAAAATTTTCTTTTAAAATATTCATACTTTTAAAAAATATTTGTATTAACACATTTCCCAATAGGACTGCGTGCTTAATAAATTGAAAATTGCATTGAAGGGGAAAAATCGCTAAGGCGATTTCTTAAAATTTTACGTGCAAATATCCAAAGAAAAATCTCCAAATTGGGCTAAATCGCCCAATCTGGACACTCTAATTATGAGTGACTTATAAAGTGTGATTTTTGTACGATGAGGGAGGACTTTACTTCTCAATTGTCTAGCCAGTCCAAAGAAGCATTGGTTGGCAATAGTGATTATCCTTTGGATTTCAAAGGCTAACATTATTATTGCTGTTAATACTGGTTCCTAAATAAACGAAGTCATCAACTTTTTCAAACGTGTAATTGTCAAAGGTGATGTGGGTGCCGAGACGATTACGCTCTGTCTGTTGACAGGAGATAGTCCATTTTGGCCTCGTTCATAACCAAAGCCTATGACGCACTCCGCCTATGCTATCTAATTACTAGAAGACAGAACAGACGTAGCCCTTGTGTTTACGCCGGTATACGCCAGGAATTGTACGCTCTTGTGAAGACTGAGCAGTTCAGTTTTGCGGCTCTTATTACACAGCCAACATAATCTAAACAATGTTATATTTATTCAAATATTACAGCCGATTCTTATAGGATCTTTTCCGTAGAATCCGAATCTGACCCTAAAGATATTAGATCGGCTCTAGTTTTCGAGCAACTTATGTTTACAGGTACCA